TTTAAAATATATTATTTTTACTACATAATATACTATTAATACAATATTTACTATATAGGATAAAAGATGCACCTAAAAAATCCACTAGAAAAAGTTGTTTTAATGTTGAAAAAGCCTTTGATTAATCATCTTGACATTGAGCTGTATGAATATAAATAAATAAAAAAAAAATTTGAGCCACTAAATTAGTGCATCTTGCAACACATTATCTAGACCATTTTCAAGATTTTCATATGTAGATCTACTTGATATTAATCATTTTTTAAGTTTAAAATTTTATAATTAATATGAAAATAGATTTTCAAATAATACTAAAAAAATTTACCCTAAAATTACATGATAAAATTTGAAGTTACGCCTTAATTGGATTGTTTAAGGTTGCAACCTTATAGAAGCCCCACCATTAATTAATTTATTACATCATATGTCTAGATTCTATAATCACAATATAAAGGAAGTAAATGGAACTAATGCACAGCATTTCAACAGATCAAGAGTATTCCTCTAGTAGTCATTTGTAGCAACCACCATTATTATGGATTATAACTTGATATTATCAGGGGAAAAATTACTTACTGTAATATTTTAATGTTTGCTGGTATTATTGTATAAAAAACATTTCAAACATACAAAAAGGAATTTGCTTTGGTATGCCTGAGTATAGAAATTGCTTAGCAAACAGGAATTTGCTTTGCTTTGTTGCAAAGCCTTCTTCCTTTTTCATTTTTTTTCAATCATAGATACTTCGGGGGCTCGTCTATATGAGACTCTAAAAACATAAATTGTTTTTATGGATGGAAGGGGATTCAAATGAGATTATCTTATCTCAGACATAATGTCAAATGGATTATTGGGAACTGCCAGACAATGGATTTTTGGGCAGATCCTCGTTATTAGAGAAACTATTTGGAAATTTTATGGTGCAAAGGTTCATAAATATCTTGGGGTTTTTGTTAAATCTTAGGTAGCTAATTATTTGCAAAGTTCCCCTCTGGATGCTTCTTTCTCCTACCTATGATCCTTTGTTTAGGATTTGGAATGAGAGTGAAGCATTTGCAACTCCCTTACAACTACAGTGAGATTTTCTAATGTGGATTCATTCTTCTAATGAATTATTCTCTATTAAGGATGTGTGTAATTTTATTCGGTATAGGGGTACCATTCAACCAATCTTCAAAGCTTTGTAGTCTTCAAAGTGTCACCTCAGGTCCAAATGGTTTTCTTGCCGCATATTCATCATCGACTTCCTACTTTCTCTCTTTTACAGCAAAGAGGGATCTCCACGGATCCAATGTGCCTCTTATGCCATTCTAGTGTTGAAAGTATTTACCACCTTCTTTTCCATTGCGTTTTCTCGCAGGGTATTTGGAGATCGGTTGTATGGAGGCGCGGCAAAAAACTTATTCCAGACACATCAATTGCAACCATGCTCATGATCTGGATTGCCTTTAGATTCAAATCAGAAGGTCTACTAAACATTTGGTTGTCCTTATTCTTTACCACAATTTGGATGATATGGGAGGAACAAAATCATCGAGTTTTTTGAGAGAAGGTATCTAAACGGGAACACTTGCTCAGAAGATTTATCATTCATGTAAGAGAGATAGTGGATGCCTAGCCTTGTCCTTCCACTTATCATATAGAACAGTTGTTAACAACCTCCAGATTACATGGCGTCACCAAAATATTATACACCCCATATCAATTGCATGGTCTTTTCCTCACCCAAATCATTTCAAATTGAATGTTGATGGGGTTTCATTTCACAATCCTAGGCTTGCCGGTGGTGTAGGCCTTATCAGAAGTGATGTTGGTCCTTTCATTGCACTTTTTGGCAATCCTTTGGGATTAACATCAAAATAACTATACAAAGTTTCATGCCTTACAAGCAAACATAGACCTAGCTGCTTAGTTAAATTGCTTTTTGTTGGAGGTTGAGAGTGATTTATCATTGTTGGTTAATGTAATCTATGATCAATGCAAAGCTCCATGGGATCTCAATATCGTTGTTACTAACTGTGATTATAAGCTTTCAGTTCGTGTTTGATACATAGCCCGTATTTACCATGAGGAGAATATGGTGGTTGATATTCTTGCCAAGAAAGCCACAACTTTCTTAGATGCCACTATTTTGGAATCAAGATTGTCGGATTTTCTTTTTATTCCATTACTTCATGATGTGGTACAACTACCCTATTCTAGGGTTGTAAATTTATAAGTTTACTCTTTTTTATTTTCGTTATTAATGAAAAACGAGTAGAGGCCTTTTCCCCCACTAACTTACTCAAAAGTAAAAATAAAAAACATTCGATGCACACTTACTTGGCTTTCCCCTATGTTTTCCCCATGTAACAACATGGATAACATGTCAATGGTTTGGACAAGTGTCGCTGCATTAAAATCACAATATTTGTGTCTAAAATTTTAGAGATTTTGGATACAATTATCTAATCATTTTAGTTAAAATCTCACTATAAAAGTATCTAATATCACTTAAATTCTTAGTTCTCTTGCGCAAATGATGTGAAGGGTGCTATATGAGAAAAGTAAATATTAAAATGGAGTTTCTATACTTATCTGTTTCAAGAAACAATTGTATGTGTCTAGCATACAATGTGTGCTTTTCACTTTTCCCGTAGGCTTTTACTCTGCCCCAATTTTAGCAAGATGAGATTTTCTCTCTTTTTTTTTTCTTTTTTGGTGGTCACTTAAGTGCAGTAGAGGAGATTATGGGCGTGTCTAGCTCAAGGCCATATATTTGAGGCTTAATGAGCATGACGCTTTCCGAATACGTGTCGAAATTTAAAGATGGAGGGGCAAAACCACGTGTCGCCCAAACATGTTGCCTTCCCGTAAAAGCACGTTATGTGGTGTAGAGTACAATCAATTCCGTTCCGTCTGACGCGAGTCCCCTCATTTTAGATGCACTCTAATCATCACTACTGTTTACAGAGACATGTACTGGGCCCGCAATCATAACGATGGCCGTTATTATCTTTTTTTTTTTTTTCTGTAAAATAAACTGCAGTGCTAACAAATAAAATAAATAATGCATTTCTTCGCAAGTCCTCGAGAATTACAATTCAAAGAACTTTTATATCGATCACTTTAACGTTATGGTCTTAAAAATATTTAGGATTTTAAATTTAAAAGATAACGTGTATTATGTAACAAATTATCTAGACAGTTCATTTGACAATAAAAATAAATATAGATATATACAATTTTTTTAGTTTCAAATTTTATTGTCTATATTAAAAATTGATTTTAAAAAATATTTATATTATCAAAAATACTTTTTACACGAGTATTTGAGGTGAGGCTTTGTTTTGTTTTTATAAAGCCTAGGCCTTAAACAAACTTCTATCTCCCTGTCCTTCTCTCTCCCTTATTTGCTTTGCTTTCTTATTTTTGGCAAGAAGCATGAGGGTTCTGCACTTTGCTTTCTCTTAGCTTTTTTATGATTATCACCCAAAGCTAATCCTCTTTACCTACTTACGTGATGAGAGAGAAAGAGAGAGTTAGGCTTAATAGTATTACTTGTGGGCAGCAATCCCAATCACCCAATTCTCTCTAATATTGGTAGTCTCTATTGCTTGTGGAGAGCCCCCTCTCTCTCTCTCTCAACACACATGGCCCTACAGGAATATTAACAGTAGAAGGATTATGCTTGAGGTTGTAGTGGACCCCTCTCTCTCTCTCTAGAAGGATGCTCAAGCTTGTAGTGGACTCTCTCCCTCTGTAGTAGGTTCAATGTATGGGAATATTGACATTAGAAGAATGCTTAAGGTTGTTCATAAAGATATTCATGATAGAGACTGTCAAAATGGAAAGGTTAACAATATAAATAGGGTCCATAAGAGGCTACTTTCTCTTTCTAGAGATAGTTCAAAAGATGGGCAAACTCTTCAACACCATGAGAATCCAGCAAGTGTGTTCAGTTGAGTCTCTATTCCGGATTCTTGGGCCCCTTCTAGTTGATCTGATTTGGAAGGTAAATGATTTAAGTGAACTATACATACACCACCAGTGTGTTGTGTGTTGGGAAAAAAGCAGGAGATGAACTTGTATCTCAGGTATTGATGGGTGGCGTCGTTGTTGGATTGTAAATCGCAGAGAGTCAAAGCTTTTCTAGAACCATAGAGAATGGCTTTTGCATCTCCATAAGTCATGAAACATTAAATTATAGAGGGATAGGATGAAGACATTTTCTAATGTTTGGTTTTCTTTCTTAGAATGTTTAAGAAGTGACTTTCAATACCTAAGAGATAGAGGAGTTATCCAGTATCCGTTAAAAAAAAAAATCTTTTCCCTAAAACTTTTTAAAGATAAACAATAATTGATACATAATATTTTTTAAAAAAATATTGATTAGATTAAAAAAAAAATACATGACACACGTGATGCCCCATGGCCTGTACCAACATCGTGTACAGTAACCGGTGGAGCATCCACTGTTTGTGCCCTTGATAGGTTGCATCCCTTTCCAAACTTTAAGCGTTATTCGACCATCGGCTAACTCAAATAAGCGGTGGGGATGAATGCATTCCAAATAATTGATGATAGTTGATATTGACCCAGGCACGGTTCATATTGACTTGAGTTTACAGGGACAGATGGTTGATATTGAACGAATGAATGGTGGATGTTTAAATGTATGGTGATTAATATTCACACTGGTGTGTAATATACTTTTCCCTTGCAATAGTTCATAATCTTTTGCTATAATTTACTGGAAGAGTAAAAGCATGGTCCCTCTACAAGAGAGCCGTGATCCCAAACTCGGCAAGACCAAGTAATGGGCTCAGCAAGCTCCCTTTCCCGGAATCAAAGCCATGGGAACCGGCCAAGTCACGCCTCTTTATTCAAGTCTCGGAAAGACTTGGCTGTGTCCAAGTTTCCTAACTCGAGCTCAGGACGCTAGCAAGTCTAGAGCCTAGTTCTTTTTTAAACCACATCTAGAGAGTATAACATAATTTAATAGTATACAAAAAAACGACTCAGCTAAGGTACTCGGCCATTAACAGTTTACCAAAGAGTGTAACATAGTTCTTAAGAGGTGCACCAATCTAATCTTGCCAAAGGAAGAGCAGAGAGGGCCTCTGTATTACATAAACAAGCAAGTAAAGCTTTTAGAAGCACACACCTAAATATAGAGTTTAGAAAGGGAAACATTGTTGTTTATTACTCAAGCACACATCAAGCAGCAAACGAAACATCAAAGAGAAGCCCTGATGAAACATCTAGTAGCCATAAACATCCGTATCGAGGAAGAGCTCAAGAGTTTCACAGTCTCCATGGATATCCTGTGCCATTGAATAAAAAAAAAAGGAATCAATTCATTCATTAAGCAATAAAAACTGAAACCAAGCACTTTATTTTAACTAAAGCACCAATCTAATCTTGCATGGGATTGCAACAGTCCAGACCTGGGGTGGGCCAGCACTGGCGCCAGCCTCTCGTGAGTCCCTAACCAGGCAGAAGGAGCCCTAGCCAGGCCGTGCCAAATAAATTCTTTTGGGGGGCAGAAATATCAAGGGGAAATGCCTGGACGGGGCTGGGCCAGCCATGGACCTGGCCTGGCCGTTGGGGCACCATGTGGCCCAGGCCCTCGTTTTTCAGGCCGGGCACCCTATTGCCAGCCCTAGCATTACCTTCTCTGATCAATAAAATGCGTGACCCAATTGTCCCTCTTGACCAGAAATTATACTTTTAATTTCTCTTTGATAGTTCAAGAAAAGCTCACATAAATTTCAGCCAAATGAAAGTAGCAGTGATGATCTAAGAGGACAATCAATACACCCAAAAGAATAACATTCTGTTTTTCAATAATAATATCCACAAAAAGTAAAAGAGAAAGTGCCATGGAATGAAAGTTTAAATTGAATTTGAAGGAAAGCTGCATGTTTCAATCCAACATCCTGATTGATGTAAAAGTCACTTCAATTATAAAAAAGGCTGTTTCAAAAGATCAAAAAATTTCCCAAGTTTGATGTTGTCTTGCCACTACCCATAACAAACCTTTTACAAACTGACACCACATTACATAAAGAAAATAACCTGTATATAATATTAACCAGAAACCATTAGGTATTTAGGTTCTAGAAAACTTGTGAAAAATTGGGGATGAAAATCAAAAAAGAAACACAGAATTATATTGAATAGGTGATCCTTGGAATATCTAGTTATGCCGAGAAAACGGATTGTATTTCAAAACTGTTTATGTGGTTAATCTAGAAATGCAATCTTAGACGTGTTCTTTGTCTCCAATTCACACAAAAGAGAACAAATTTCAAGTTAATAAACATGTACCAGCTAATTTCAAGAAGGACAGTCAACTAGGATCAAATGGATCATGGAACACCATATTCAAATCGGGTCCATCACTATCCAATGATATGATGGAAAGTGATTGAGAGAGTGGGATCCACCAAAAAATTAAAAAATAATTACACCAATGGTAGGTTCAACTCTCTCTGCATCAGCACCCACTATTTCATCACCAATGATGACCCCAGTGGACTAAATTTTCCCTAGTTAATTGGACTATAATATACTTTCCACCAAGGAAGAGCAAAGTTGAGTTCTTACAGTATGGATAAAGCTTCCAGCGCTGATTGTCACCTTTCGTCCACTCCCACAGTACAGCAACTGTGCCATCATGAACTCCTCCATGGTTTTTGTCACCATGGAAAGCATCCAAATTTAGGCAGATATTGTCCACCATTCTGATCGTTCTGAAACCGTCACCTAAGTCCTTGCTCAAAGTCCATAGAATCGACATGTCAAGCTTATCAGTTGGATATGGAATGAGGCGAACCTGTAAAGGAACAAGCAGAGGTTCTAATGCCAAGACATGTATAAAGATTCAAATACAAAAATTTATTTGAGAAAACGAGTAGACTAGTTTATCAACACTTCATTTTGCATCGGTGGCTTCGCTGGGATTTGCACCTTGATTATTGTTTTGTGCCCTCATAAACCGAAACCACTGAACCAAATTATGAACAAATTAGTTGGACTCTTCTTTATTAGTTTGCCAGATTTGATTTGTTATTAACAGGTCATGAGGAGTGGCATTATTTCTTGAGTGACCAGAGAAAACAGAGCTGAAGGCACATTATTACCCAAAATGTCCCTTTCTCTCTCATAGAAATCTGATAAATCATAAAACTGTGAATGTGGGGATATAATGAGCATGTTCCCCAGGGGAAATGACCAGCCTAATTCCAAAATCATTCAAATTATTGTCTAGCCTATAAGGAAAGAAATTGCTCTCTTTTTTTTTTTCCCCTATCAACTGGAAACAGAATTTTGTTGAAGCCCATATAAATTGCAGTCATAAGTTCTATGAATTCATGCAGTAACAACACTCACAAAAATATGAAGTCTTAGGCAAAAGCAAGAGCCCTTTTGAGAAGCCTATATTGGCAACTAGTATGTCCATTTGTTTTCCCGAAGTAACTAGCAGAGAAAATTGGGAAGCCAAATCCCTAGTAAAAGAAACAGTTGGAGATGGACCCAATCTTACATGGGAAATCATGTACTAGCATGATGTATGACTTAAGTGTCTGTCCTAGCTGCAAAATTTTTATGTAATGCGATGTATATGCATTTATAAATCTCAACTATCAAAGGAAGGTAGTGCATCTGGTGTAGGATGGGGAGGGATACAGAGCTTTGAGCAAAGGGTGAAAGGAATTCCTTCCTAGGAAACCCACAAAGGACAAGAAGCTAGAAACCGAATTAAAAGTAATAGGGGAACCTGAAAGAGAAGTGCTTTGAGAAAGCAAAAGTTAAGAGCATGAAACTGTCAGGGAAACAAAACCAAAAGGAGAGGTAGGGAAAGGTGGGTGGGAGTAGCGTTAGCACACATGAGAAGATTAGCGGCAAATAGGGCTAGCAATCAGCTGGATTCAAGCAGGGACAGAGCCAGGGCCAGCCTGGGTCCCGCCGGCAGGACAAAGCTCTGACCAAGCCCAGTAATGGGATGGCCCCAGCCCTTTCCTCTCTATTGACCAGGTCAGGCTGGGCTAGGCAAACAACTGCCTGGCCTAGCCCGGGCAAGGCCATGATGCCTGGTGCCAAGGGTAACATATGCAGGCCTAGGCCAGAGCTCAGCCAAGTTAGGCTACCCTGCCCATTGCTAGCCCCGGCAGCAAGACGGGGGGAGATGCTTAAAATCACAATTGTTAAAGACGTGTATGATGTGAAAAGAGGAAGGAGTGGCATGATAGTGATTGCAAGGTGGAGGTAAAGAAGGGATCGAAAGTGATCAAAGGAGAACAGAGATTGCAAGGTGGAGATAAAGAAGTTCGGTAGAAAGCATAATGTCACAGGGAGAGGAGGGATGACTTGTCTTGCAAAGGCATGGGTGTGGTTTTCTAAATGATTAAACAAGAAACTTAGGTTTTTTTCATATATGATTAGACATGTATGGAAAATGAATGCCTCAAGTATTAAATTTAAAAAAAAAATACACTTTTTTCTAACTAAAATTCTATCAGATTGCCTCCTTGACAAAAGGAAATTTATGACTGGCTAAATACTTGGGCCAGGTCAAAAACTAAAGCTAAGAAGTTGACAGAGCATCAAATTTTCAAAACTTTAACATAAATCCCTTGTATTGTTATAAAGCAAGAGACAACTAGTGATTTTACTGATGTTTCTTGTTATAAACCCCCTCAGTTTTTTGAAATCAAACAACCAGTGATTTTACTGATGTTTCTTGTTATAAACCCCCTTAGTTTTTTGAAATCAAACAAAAGTCAGTTTTGTAAAGGACGCATTCTTTTGATGTGTGATTTTTTCTTTGCAAGAATGTGCTTTCTTCTCCTTGGAAGGTTCATTTTATTTGGAGATCATTCCAAATAACAATAAAATACTATAACTTGCTAATTAGTGCAATCAAATATCACATGCTTTAAGAAAGATATTCCAAAGAGCAATTGTGCTCCAAATAACCCCATAAAAATAGACAACTGTGTCGACCCAGACTGCTCCATGTAAAGAAGGTGTTATGTTCAGCTATATCCAAATAAAAATAATAAAATCATATTAATGGTGTTTTGGGAGAACAATAAAGCAGCACCAAACATAATTCCCATAACAGCAAGTCACCAAGCTTCTGGCATAATTTTAAGGCTGCAAATGGTTCGAGTCCTTGTCGGGTTCACTCCTACCTGGCAAGGTCCAGATCTGACCTGGGGCCAGACATGAACCTGGTCGGATCCAGGTCTGCTGGGCTACACCCAACCCTCAGGTCCAGGGTAGGTTCCATACCTGGACCTTGTAAAATTTGTAGGAAATTTTGCCGGAATGTCCACTGAACTTAAACTGCAAATAAGCACAACATACCAAGTCTCCAGAGAAATAACAACGTCATTTGTTTGAGCAATATCAAAAAATAAGGCGCTTCTTGTACATTCTACAAAAAGAGGGAAAAAAAAGGAGACCATTTAACAACGTCATTTGTTTGTGCAATATCAAACAATAAGGCGCTTCTTGTACATTCTACAAAAAGTGGGGAAACAAAGGAGACCATTTAACATAGATATAAGGCTTCATGCATGACATTTGCATCATCATTTATCCCATATATAATCCACGAGAAGTAAAAGGCGGGCGATTTGGTCTCAAATTCAAGCATAAGTTTTAGGGATGAGACTTACAGGTTGAGTTCCTCCAATGGAATGTTGCAGGGCTAGACCAGTTGCCATATTCACCAGAGCGAAAGAAGGAAAGGACTCTTCATCCTTCACTCTTGTGCAGTATTTCTCATCTTTGATCCAATGCTGAAAGGAAAAAAGTTTAAAAAAAAAAAACAATTTATCCTATAAGATAAAGTTAGGCATTTCTTCTTTTTCCAAATTAAACAAAATTTGATGACTGGCTATTTTTTCATGATAAAAATCGTGATCAATGATCAATGATCAATGATTAATCATCTCATATGGCTGATAGGTGCATGGCATAATACCCATCCTAATGTAAATTAAACCACACATGAGAGATTTTGGAATGACATCCTTTAAATTTAGAGTCCCATCAAAATAAACAGAGTAATCACAATGTCATTGATCCAGCAAGGTAACTAGTTCTCAAGTAAAATTAATAGAATAATATTTGAATTAAAATTTCTAAAAAAGAACTGCATATATGCATGTAAAAGATTTCAGCATTCTCATAATTCTCCGTTCAAGTAGAAAACACAGGATATTGGCGGAATCGCATTAAAAATGAATATTACAAAAAAAAAGCCCAGCTTTATTTTTGACTGATTTGTGAATTTAATCAGCATATTTACCCAAAAATAAACTTAATCACGCATCTGTCACAAACTGAAAGCTGGGAACAAAAAGAAAAAAAGGAACTATAAAAGTAAACAACAACAATTTATTCCCCATTCAACTAGAAAATGCGGGAAAAAAAAGGGGGGGACAAGGGCCAGGTGGACAGTGGATGAAATATACAAAAAAAAAAAAACCCATTTTTTTATACTTTTGGGTAACTCATGAATTAAATCAGCATATTTACCCCAAAAAAATGAACTTAATCAGCATATTCGTCATAAAAGGCAAGATAGTAAAAACAAAAAAAAAGAAAAGAAAAGCAGCAAAAGAAACAACCCCCCCCCCCCCCCAAAATAAAAAAAAAATCGAAAAGCAGAGAGTAATATACCTGGAATTTATCACTTGGATCATAGGGAGCCAAAACAACAGAGCCATCTCTAATGGTGAGAGAGAAGCCATTCCCAGCCTTGCAGAAAACCCTAACTTCACGTCCCTGAGGAAGGAAAAAGGAGGGCTGAACTGATGGGAAAATTGCAGTGCCATGAGGATGGCCATGACCGCGGTCATGGCCATGATGGGGAGCAACATAGGAAGATGGGTATGAACTTTCATGGTGAGAAAAAGATTGGTCTGGTGGAGGCAGATAAAATGGGGTTGAAGATGGACGAGGGTATGGAAAATGCTGGCCAGGAGACTGGTCTTCCTCTGGTTTGCTGTGGTGGCGGTGGTGGCGGGCATGGTGATCATGCTGGTTATGAGGGAATTCCATACTTCTTCTCCCTCTTTCTCAGAAGAAGAACTTATTTGAACTGGGTTTTAAGGGTGGTAACTTGTTCTTCTATGCTTGGTGATGGTTGGTTGAATAAATGGACTCCATTCTCATTTTCTTAAAGCTTTTTCTCAGTTATTTTTTTATCACTTCAGTGTTGCAGAAGATGCCTGTGAAACAGGACGCTGGAAATGGAATGCATGAAAAAATCAAGGGTCACGTGGATGAATTTATACGGTTTTTCGGAAATTTCCTGACATGTTCGAAATTTCGTTATAATTCAGCGTTGGCATACGAAATTTCAGCAATTGTCGGGAAATCTTCGGTGAATGCGAAGTGATTTCTTCTTTGAATTTATTTCTTAAGACTTATCGAACTGCTATTTTGATATGATATCTTTGAATTTCTCTCTTAAAACTAATCGAACTGCCATTTTGATATGATATCTTTGAATTTCTCTCTTAAAACTTATCGAACACTTGTCCTTTCCCAAATTATTTATTTATTAATGGAGCCCTTCTATGGCGGGAAACTAATCCCCAGGTTTTGACATGCCCATTTGTCTGTACGAGACATTTATATGCTCTCGCAGGAGCAAAATGCACATTTGCTCCTTCAGTAAAACCTTGGAGTATCTTGGACCCAGATTTTTATGGGTTGGATGTAAATCACTCGACCCAGTGACGCACCTGGAAAAAACACAAGTTGAGCAAGAACTATATATATATAATATCGTATAAGACTCTGTATGTAAGATTTTAAAAGATTATCATTAAATTTTTTGACAAATCTTTAGAAAAATCAAATCACTCTACAGATTTGTGCTAAATTTAATAGTGATCCTTAAGAGTCCTACACATGGGTATAAGAAGGTCCCATAAGATCATTATTATATATAGGAAAAGATACGATTAGCCCACTAGTTCATATGAACCCAACGGTCTAGATTGACTTTAAGTCGATCTAATGATCACAAATATCCAGTAGTACTTAAATTTTATTTTATTTTCTACAGATTCAAATCACTTGAAATTTTAAGTATGTGTTCTTCTCATCAATGCGCACCTAATAAAAATATAAAAAAATTTATTCATGAAAAATAAAATGACCAAAATACCTTCGAAACTTTTTGGGGGTATTTTGGTCGGTTTATTTCGTATAAAATATTTTTTTGATGTTTTTCGAAGATTCACTTATTTTTTATGAATACACGACTAAAATTTCAAATGATTTGGATTTGTAAAAAAAAAAACTAAAATTCAAACACTACCGGACATTCGTGATCATCAAATCGGCTCGGATTCAATCTAGAACGTTGGGTTCATATGTTCATATAAGTTAGTGGGCTAATCTCATCTTTTCCCTATATATATATATATATATATATATATATACC